AACTGGATGTCTTTTGGCATGATAGTGACACGCTTCGCATGGATAGCACATAAATTCGTGTCCTCGAAGAGGCCAACAAGGTATGCTTCCGAAGCTTCCTGAAGGGCCATTACAGCCGACGATTGAAAACGAAGATCAGTCTTGAAATCTTGCGCTATCTCACGCACTAAACGTTGAAACGGCAGCTTGCGAATCAGTAGCTCAGTTGACTTCTGGTAACGGCGGATCTCACGTAGAGCGACAGTTCCAGGACGGTAGCGATGCGGCTTCTTTACTCCTCCTGTGGCCGGAGCCGACTTTCGTGCAGCCTTCGTCGCCAATTGCTTCCTTGGAGCTTTCCCACCGGTCGACTTACGAGCAGTTTGCTTTGTACGGGCCATCGATGGTTCGACGCAAACGATGACATCACCCTTTGAGCGACAACTTATATAGGCTCAGCTTTGGAGGCGGAGCCTATTTCGCGCATACTCGCCCGTTTATGACATCAAGAATTAGGAGAATTTTTCAGTTGTTGATCAAACACCCCATAAATATTTACATAAATTTAATACTTTGAAAATCCTTCTTCTCATTGCGACACTCTTCCTTACAATCGAGATAATTAGTATTTTATAGTTAGCACTCATGGATGTAACGGGATTGAGTGAACCGAACAAATTTTAAAGAAATAAAGTTCAGAACTGACACTTTTCTCGCGATTTCAAACAATGACAGCTTTAATTGCAAGAACAATCTTAGGATTTTAAAGGGATATCATTTTCTATTGATCAAGCCGCTTAGCCTTGGAGTTGGCAAGGCGCCAAACAAACTACACATGAAAAACCTTACTTAGAAAAAATATGTTTATTAACGAGTCAAGAGCTTTTATTGGATCAAATTCTTTTCGCTGGAAAGGGCAATGGAGCAGCTGTTAGCAACCCCATTTCAATTAAAAGTTGAGTCTTTCGCATAGTAACTTTGAACTGCTCAACGTTAAACTTCAGAAAGTGCTAGTGTTTGAGTATCCGAATTCATGTGGCCCTAAAGAGGGCCGTTGGGTTAGATTTTAACATAATAAAGTGCGATGTTCAAGCTTTCTCTTCACCAGTTTTCTTGGGTAGGAGGACA